GACCGTTCCAAACGCCGACTGGCCGACCGGCCGACTGTGGTTATCGACCGGCTGTGAAATGCCAAATGGCTAAATGGTTCACAAATTTTTTTTGATAAAAAAAATACCTTTTTAGTAAAACCACATTAATAAAAGTAAGAAAACCAAAGCATGAAACCAAACCAAACCAAAGCATTAGACCAAACCAAACCATCTACTACTCATCTTCTTCAACATCACCAGCAAGTTCCTCGACATCTCATGCATCTTCCTCAACAATCACATCCTCATTTGGAAGATCTTCTTCAGCTAAATCTTCTATACCAAGAGATTCAAGTCTAGCTTGCATCTCTATAATCCTCTAAATCTTCTATACCAAGAGATTCAAGTCTAGCTTGCATCTCTATAATCCTCATCCATTGTGGTTTGATTGCAATTGTGTCGAAATTAATCTCTAGAAATTTCATTTCTTCACTTTCAACATAATCCACCTGTAAGCGATTAATTTTTCCATTCTACTTTAGTCACTTAACCACGCCTTCGACCACTTGGAGGGGTCTCACTCACCACCTCCTTAAGTCCAATTCAGGACTTGGGACTTGCTAGCCCCGAGAATGGCATCCATGCCACTCATCCCTTGCACTTAGTCCAAGTGCTCCACGTGTCCGGTCCCAAGACCGACACCCCAAGGTACCACCGACATACTAGCCCGTTACGCTAAGGCCATGCCCCTTTACCTTGGTCATACCGGTGATCTAACACCACCTGCATCACAATCCTGTCTCTCAAGGACTGGACCATCTGTCCATGAGTGATCATTCCAGATCCCCTCCTTAGCATCCTTAGGATGCCCACAGATGTGGGGAATAGCCTTCCCCAATATCCCTTTTCTGGTCCCCACCAAGTCCCTTTCTGCCCACGGCTGTATTCACCAACACTACCACTGGATCGAGGCCCACCGGCCCGACCACTAAGTCCCACGGTCCTCTGGGACTTCCTCACCACACGACTGTGTCCTTGGTCACTAGCCCAGAGGACTGCTCCTCTTCCTTTCCACAGTCTGGGCCTTTGGGACAACATTTCGGAACACCGTGGCCTTATGCAAGCCACCTGGGTACTCTCCCCACCTTTCGCCTTTAGGTGCTCTAGCCATGGGCTTAGAGCGAGGTTCCGTTGAGCCACGCCTGGTATCCAAGTAGGTAGTGCCACCCACACTTGGACTGGGAGCATCGGCCAGTCGATCTCCCGGGGGAACTAGAGCCGGCTCTTGAACACTTCACCAAGCTACCCCGCTTGTCGGTCCGTATTCACTCTAGTCTTGGACTTCCCAGTGGTCAATTCATCACCCAACACTGGGTCTGGCCTTCTTGGGCCAAACTGGCCTTTCCTAGCCAAACTAGCTCCACTGCAGTCCTCCCCCTACTATACTTTTGGAGCTCACCAAACCCCCCAGGGTCTGGGAGATGAACGCTTTGGGCTTTCACCCTCTCAAACTCGAACTCGGACTCGGACTCGGACTCGGGCTCGGGCTCGGTCTCAGTCCCGGTCCCGGTCTTGGTCTCGGTCGATCTCGGTCCCAGTCTCGGTCTCGACCTCGGACTCCATCTCGGGTCCTTCTCGGACTCCATCTCAGACTCCGTCTTGGTCCATTTCGGACTCCATCTCGGACTCCGTCTTGGTCCACCTCGGACTCCATCTCGGGTCCATCTCGGACTCCGTCTCGGTCCACCTCGGACTCCATCTCGGACTCCATCTCGGGTCCATCTTGGGTCCATCTCGGACTCCATCTCGGATTCCATCTCGAACTCCATCTCGGACTCCGTCTCGGTCCACCTCGGACTCCACTTCGGGTCCATCTCGGACTCCATATCGGACTCCATCTCGGACTCCACTTCGGGTCCATCTCGGACTCCATATCGGACTCCAACTAGGGTCCGCCTCGGACTCCATCTCGGACACTTCCACATGTCATGTGTTGGTCCTTTTTGGGTCCCTTTTTGGAGCCTTGCTTATTGCTCGCTTCGTGCTCGCTCCTTGAGCACTTTGTTGGGAGTTCCACTTCCGCTCTCAACCTTCCAAGTCAGAGCTTTTAGTCCAAACGTGTTACACTCGTTTGGGCTTTCGCTTCGGCCACTACCACATGGCATCCTTTCCGGCTCCACTTTGGGGCCTAGGGATTTTGTGTCTCACACCACCACTCTGGTGTTACTGTGTACATAAACCAACTTCTACATACACCATAAACTAACAAATGCTCCATCAAAATGCCTACTCTATAGATTTGTTGTAGAAACTAAAGACAAAGGGGTATTAGCAAAATGTGCCTTAATTCGTTTTGGCAGACCACCATACATTTTTCCACAATAATTACATTTCCAACACCCAACTCCTTTGCTGGAAGCATAAGGAGTGAACTTGGTAACATGGGACCATGCCCAATCGGGCACCATTGCTCAATTGTGCCAGAATTGCTAGAATCAAATCTTTGAAATCACTGGAATCGTAATTTCCATTTTAGGGCAAAAATTTCAAGCGTTGTGGACTAGGTGATTTGCGAGGCCTCAGCAAGCTGCTCCATGCTCAATCGAAAGCAAAGGCTGACCGACTGGAGAGTGTTGCCCTGTAGAGCTTGGTATGCATGCAGCTCCTATAGGCTATAGCCCTCTTCATCAGATTCTATGTAGGCTTGCTGGGCTGGGCATTTGTGGATGGATGGATCGCTCCATACATAGCAGCAGGAGAACAGCAAAGCAGTGGAGATGCAGTGGCAATGGCGATAGTTGTAGCAGCATCAGAAATCTAGCCCCTGTGAGTGCGATCACCATTTTTTCGCCGAACGGAATCACCGAACGGAACTGTCCGACTGCATTCGGCTGACCACATTCGGTGGCGGTCAGGATTCTGGCTGAACGTGGTTGGGACCAACCATGCCCATGAGCAGGAGAGCTGGCCTTCAAAGAAGTAAGCCTGAGTGAACATTCCAAAGAAAAAGCTATGGTAAGCTTTGAAAGTCATATGTTATGTGGTTTGTTCTGTAGGTTCCACCTTTGTCAACTGTTTGGGCCGGTGAAAGGCTAGCTGGTACCATGAATGATGAATTACTAGAAGCTATAGAAGAGCTGAAGAAAAATCTGAAGAAATGGAAAAGGGGGCAATAAGCTACACTCGTTCAGCGAGTTTTTCTTTTTAGTGTTAGCCTCCATATATGGACGAGGAATGCAAGCTCAAATTTGGAGGATTGACTGAACCAGCCATTATTCTTTAACGAATTGTTCAGGGCTGGTAACCAAATGCTGGTTAGAGAGGACCACTACACGATATTGAAGAAGCTGCACATAGGGGGCTTTTGGACACTGAAACAGCTTATGGGAGTGTTGGACAAGGTCTGCAGGAAGACCACAAAGAGGATGCAAGTCTTCAACCCAAGCAAGAGTTGCAAAGTTCATGTAGATCTAAAATCCTCCATGGTTGAGGCAAAGAGGGAACAACCTTGGCCGAGAAGGTGCTTTAAACCCAGGGACTTTGTAATGCTGCAATGGGAGATTGAGCCAGATGGAGAACGAGTTAAGCTGCACGTGGACTCAAGTGTTCATGGCCCCATCACTAGCATGGGGAGATGGCGATGTGGAAGTTTAGTTCATAGTCTCTCTATGTAGGTTGCCCCTTCTAGGTGACAAGGGAGGATATGTTGTTACCAATGGGAGAAGAGTAGTACATGCTGATGGTGACTAATGACAAGGTCAAGGGGAGGATTTGAGTGCTTCACTAGGCACCAAAATAGCTAGTCATTATGCAATCACCAACCCACTTGAGGGGAATGGCACACTCAAGTGGTGGCATCAGCAACTGATCAAAGACTTGGATTGGGATCCTACAGAATGGAGGTGAAGTTTGAACAGTTTCTTCTCCTTTGAGGTGGAGGCATGGGATGGTTTGTTGATGAATAGAGAGGAGGCATGTGGAGAGATCCTAAAGTTATGGAGAAAATGAATCAAGCAAGGAGTTGACACAAACCAGATGGTGGACAATATGTTAGATTTCTAGAAGCTGCCAATTCAAAAGAAAGTCAAAATCACTTTTGGCTCCAATAGGACAACAGTTCTAGGACGATGCAAGCCGAGCACGCACTGTGGGAATGTGACATGGGAAAGTAAGTATGGCAATAAATTCTCAAGGTAGCTCATGAGATAGGGGACATTCAAGAGTTTGAAGCAAGGTGTGGCAATATGCTCCACTGGTTCAAAGGAGCACGTGGCCCAGCCACAAAGTCCAGCTTGGAGGCACGTCATATGTCATGGATGACATGGTTGGAAGATGTGAGTCCAATGGGATGAGATTGGTGTTGAGGTCGGAACATTGGTCTAGGAGGCAATGGGCCATAAATGCTGGCCAGTATGGAGAGCAACAAGATTACAAACAATCTAGGAGGTGTGTAACCACCACCACTTTGATGGGTAACAAGCAAGAGTATTTGCTATTGTGGCCACATGGTGGAGATTTACTCTGGCACCTATTCACCTCCACTATGTCATCCTAAAGGAATGGGCAAAGCCTGATCATTTGGGGAAGTGGCGAACCAGATGGCTCCCATGTTTTAGCAGGGTGATTGATGATGAGATCCATTTGCAGTGGCACCCTTCTAACACTATTCTTTGTTTGGTTTTGGGAGGGGACTTGGACATCGACATAATCTGAAAGATATGACCATGTCCACTTCTACTTCAAGATTAGATCCACTTGAGACATGAGAGTATCACGTAAAGTAGCTTGGTGATAGGGCGGCATGCCCAGTTTTTGTATTAATCCCACTGAGACATTAAGGAATGTACATACGTTCACCAAATCAAGCTTCCTCCACATGGCTAGGGTTTCTGCCCTTTAGAGTGGCTAGTGGAATATTGGTTGTGTTTTTGGGGGATTTTGTTAGATCTTAAGGAGTTAGCTTCAATTTGGTTTTATTTTTGTTGCTGTTGATTAAGTTTATAAATATTACTAACTTAGTGTATTAGCATTGGTTCCAATGGAGAATGGGCCTTATTATTTAGCTTAGCCTATCATCAGCCCCAGGCTCGACGCTACATTTGCATTCCTGTTTTGTCAAAGATGCCCGGGCTGTGCAAGAAAAGTTTGACAGGACTTCTGCCAGCCACTTTACAATAAATGTCGAGTTGATTCCCACAGGCTTGTTTTTGTAATGAAGGCTGAAGCATTGTCCTGGACTGGAAGAATCCATGGGGCATTTGGCCGTCCCTCCGTCTCTCCAATAGCCTTCATGCCCAAGGCCGGCCCAGTCAGCCAGGTGCTTGTAGATGAATTGACCGTTCCCTGCAAGCTGCAACCAGCCCTGGGGAAATGCCTCAAGAATTCTGCTCCCAGGATTCATGAAAATCATGTTGGTGAGCTGAGCACCGTGAACAGATACAAGAATATCGGTTGTGCTCATCAGCTTTACCTGGATCAACGTTAAATATTGAGTCGGTGTCATGGACATATTTTTACCTGGGAGCAGAAATCAAGCGCTGAAAACCAGACGACGGACCACTGGCAATGGGGCCGCACCTCACACACGAGCTTGACGGCATGCTTCCAATCACTCAGGTTGACAAAGGCACGCCCTCGTTCTCGGGCCACAAGCGCGACACGGACGGTCGTGTCGTCATCGTTAACCCCACTGCCTACTCCGCACCATTGTCGGGTCCGGCACCGAACCTGCTCGAACAAGTCCCTCAACACAGCCCCTGAAACGCCCCCAATACCTCTCCTGCTCACAACTGCTCTTTGGAAGCACACCACCCTGCCTTCTGGATGGTACCTCAGTGTGTCCACGCCTGTGGTGACACCGTTGGAATCCAAGACGCTCCGGATCCAAGCTCCCAGATCGTGACGTATCTCCCCCCGGTGGAAGATTAACATTCTATCGCTCCGTTGGCAGCGGCTGTCCATCCTCCAGTGGACGAATTGGATGAGGTTATACATAGAATGCCAGGGGTTGACGAAATCAAAATGAGAATCCGAGACGAGGGTTGTTCCCGGCAGAAGCAGCGCGTCCCCTGGCACATGCTGCTCAGCAAATGCGTACAGGTTCTTGGTGCCATCTCGGGTGCTGTTGCCTCTAAAGCACAAGACTCTGGACGAGGCGGAGGTGTTGAAGTAGAAGAATTCGGGGACCCCTGTCCGATTTGTGTCTTGGATCTGGGACATGAACACGTAGCTGGTACCATTCTTGGAATCCTTGACGGGGTGAAAGCGCAGGGAACGTGCTGCTTTCGACCGCTCACCTCGGAGGAATGTGAAGGCATTGTTTTGGAGAATGGAACTGTGGATCAACACAATCCATGCGAGGACTACCAGTGCAAGTGCCGCTATGGGTGCCAAAGCTCGCCGGCGCACCATCGGTTTCATTCTCCCGGGGGCCTGGAGGCCTTCTCATGCTTGTTCTGTGGCAGAGCGTTATGGCCGGAATCGCGCAAGGGCGCGTTACCTTTCAGTTACTTAACAAATGACAAAATGCCAGATCTTGTGTGCTCGAAACCGGAGCCAAGAAAGAAAAGAGGGTCCGTTTGCAGCTCTCACTTTTTGAAGTATTTCCCAAGCCGCTGCAGGTGATAGTTGATGGTGGTCTTCACTTTGGGCGCCCTGGCCTGTCACAACGAGGAAGGGAAGGCGTGAGGGAGCGGCAATCTAGCTGTAGGTAGCAGCAAAACGAGCACAAGGACGCACCTGGAACTCAACGCAAGCATTCAGGGCTTCTTTCTCCTTGATGCACAGATCGTCGTTGAAATTGGTCCTCTTGAGGCAGGCCAGAAATGCCATCATCTCGTTCATGCACGGCTGTGCCTTGGGCCCGAACATCTTGGGATTTACCTTGAGCATCTCCTTCTTGTGAACCATGGCGACTCCACCGCCTTGCGTCCAGCCCCACAACCCTAGGTACTACTAAAATAAAACTTCGAAATCTCTCTCACGTATTTGGTGGTGTGATCTTCCTCATGGAGCTGTGCAACACCAACACTGCGGCACCGAGGAAACAAAGAGTTTAGAAAAGAGAGAGCTTTTCTCAGCCGAGGACCTCACCTGTAAAGCTTAGAGCTGCTGCGCAGATCAAGGCCAGTGCCACCCTGCAGTACATGAGAAGGAGCATTGTGCCTGACATGGAAGTACGAGTGCTATAGTGAGCAAAGCACAAATCTCTGGCATGAGTGAACGGAGAAGAGAAGCATACCAACATTCCCGAGCGCCACCAGCAAGCGGAACAACACGCCGTGCCTCTGTATCTTGAACTTGTTGATGAGGATCCTCAGCCCATCCCACAGGCCAAACAAGGACACCACGCCCAGCAAAGCCAGAGGCATTTTATACCTGGCTAGGCAGCACAAGAGAGCAATGAGACCTCGGCAGGGAGAAGGGAGATGACTCACAAGACGCAGGCGAAGGTGATCGCGATGAGGACGAGATAGTTGCCCGTGTAGCGCTTCAAATTCTCGTCCATCCTGAACTTGACTTGGGTGACACTCATCGGCCACGAGTAGGTCTCGGCCGGTCCCTTGCCGCAATCCAGAAATTCTGCCGTCCACGGCACCGGCTTCTTACCCAGGTCCTCCACCGTGAGGCTCTCAAAGGGGTTGAGCTTGAGCAGCTTACACAGCGCAACGAACGATCCCTGCCCGGCGATGATGGCGTTGTCCAGCGTACACTTTTCCAGAATCTCCAGAAACCCCTTATCCTTGAGCCAAGCTTCGAAGCTCGACTGGGGGATGCACAGAGACAGCGGATTCACAACGAAGCTCGGCATTGCTTGCTTGCTTTGCCTCTGCCTCTCAGATTAGGGCGAGAAAAGACAACCCTAGGCACGTGGCTGCCACGTGTGAGCCTTCGGCTGAATCTTGGTCAGTTGGTTTCTATGGAGTTGGTTTCGTCTCCTTCCTCGCGTGCCCGGGGACTGGTGACGATGGGAGACATGGACGTTGACGATCACCAAGACCGCATTCCGGCACACCAGGCGTCCCCCAGGCCCACGGGATTGCAAATGTTATCTCCCAGGCAACAGCAACAGATGATGCAGCAACAGCACGTCGACGATATCACCTCCAACAACTCGAGCGTGGCCGAGGATGCATTCAAGCCCCCACCGGTAGCGCCACCATCGAGCATGATACAGGAGTTGCCACCCCCGCCCACGCCCCAAAGGTTCCCGCCGCCAGTGCCTGACGAGCAGAGGCCTGCTGCTCTCTACGACTTTAGCCCTCCCCCAGCGCCAGAGCGAAGGGGTTCCTCGCAACAGATTGATATGCTGAATTTCTCGAGAGCAGCTCCACAGTATGACCAGGTGCCGGTTATGGACCTCCTACGAAGAGCATCCCAGTTTGATCAGGTGGAGCAAACTCCCGGTGCTGGCAGGCGGGCGTCGTCGCAGTTCCACGACAGTTTTGGAATGCCCGACCAAAGAAGGCCTTCTGCATTGGTTGAAGGGATGCACGACAGGCCCAATCTGCCTCCGGTTCTGACCTCGGTCCCCGTCGCGGACGCGGCAATGCACGACCATAGACCGTCCTTGCTCCTACAACAGCCCTACAACCTTCCGCAGTCATCTGCTACCCCAACTCCAAGATTGTCATCAAACAACTTCGTCCCTGTGAAACGAGGTCTAGATCATCCCACCCAACATGTAAATGCACTAAAAATGTGTCTGCAGCAGACAGTGGTTTTGTTTCGTTGCCAGCACCAATCAGCGAGACTGAACCTTACAGCCCAGTGTCCAGTTCTGGCGAGGGTGTTGGCGGGCACATCGACCGTGGTAAGTGTACGTTCTTGTAGCCCGACGCCTACTAGCATTACTTGTTTGTTTCTTTTTCAATTGAACATTGGAGTCTTTGATCAGATGCCATGTTGGCCCGAGCATATCAAGACAAGCAACAGTCGCAGGTCAAGGCTTGGGAACGGCACAGAAACACCAAGAACTACAACAAGTATTGCGTGTATCTTACCTTTAGCTCCAGAGGTTACATTATCCTAACACGATTTTAGATACGAGAGCGAGATTGCGAGGATCACGGCATGGGAGGCTTGCCAAGTAGCGAAGGCCGAAGCCCTCATGAAGAAGAGCGAGGCAAGAAGCCCTGCTTAATCTTTATATGCACCTTAAGGAATTCAACCGTGCTGCAGGAAGAGCTGGAAAAGAAGCGTGCCAAGCTGAGAGAGGGATTTAAGAACGAGATTGCATCCATTCACAGGAGGGCGGACGACTGGAAAGCGATAACCGAGACTCGACGTGTGGAGGAGATACTAAGAACGGAGGAGGGTGCCGCGCGGTTTAGAGCCACGGGAATGCTTCCAAAGAAGCCATTGCTCCATATCCAGTCGCTGCGTGATATGTGTTGTGGCCTCAACTTGCCATACAAGAGGTGATTCATAGCAGTGGCTAGCGATGGTGGTGTTGGCTCCTCCTTCGACACCAGCATACAGATCTTTCGCAAGGGGCGGGCTATCGGCAGGAGGGCAAGAGCATTCCGAAGAGGAGCCGCCCGGCGGGGCATCCAGTGCACCGCAACTGTTACATGAAGAAGAAGAAGACGAAGAGGCGCTGGCACGGCTGCTGCGCTCGTGTGGCGATCCGACTCATGGTAAGCGCCTCCATGCACGTATCCTTGCCGGTCCCAAGCACCGCAACAGCGTCTACCTAGCCAACCTCATTGTCCGAATGTATGGGCAATGTGGCCATCTAAGAGATGCTCGAGCAGCATTTGACTCCATCCGGGAGCCGGATGTCTTCTCCTGGAACATCATCATCGCCGCGTATGCCAAGGATTTGCTTGTGGATGAGGCCAAGGCACTCTTTGACAGAATGCCTGCGCCAAACACAGTCTCGTGGAATACCATGATCACAGTCTGCTCCAAAACAGCACGCCTCAAGGAGGCCAAGCTCTTGTTCGATACGATGCCCAATCGCAACCTCTTATCATGGAACGCAATGCTTTCCGGTTATGCCCACGGTGGGTACATGGCGGAGGCCGGATGTATGCTGGAGAGGCTTCCAGAGCACAATGTAGTGTCGTGGAACACGATTGTTGTTGGCTACGCGCGAGTGGGCGATGTGGAGCGAGCGCGATCCGTGTTCGACGCCATGCTCGAGAGGAACATCGTGTCGTGTACGAGCCTGCTACAGGCGTATGCCGCGGTGGGAGATGTGGCGGCAGCGAGGTCCGTGTTCGATGCGATGCCGGAGCGGAATGTGGTGACTTGCACCGCCATGCTTCAGGCGTATGTGCAATGCGGCGACGCTGCCGGAGCACTGGACGTGTATAACGGCGCCATGCCTGAGCTAAACATGCTGTCCTGGAACGCGCTGCTGGCGTCCCAGGTCCACTCGCACAGCCTGGCGGCCGCAAAGTTGGCATTCGAGGAGAAGATGCCCGAGTGGAATGTGGTATCATGGACGTGCGTGCTGCAGGCTTACACTCGCTGGGGGCAGCTGCAAGAGGCGAAGCGCATGTTCGAGTGGATGCCAGAGCGGGACGTGGTGGCGTGGACGGTTATGCTGCTGGGATTTGCCGAGAGCGGGCGGGCTGAGGAGGCGATATGGCTGTTTGCATGCGCTCCCGAGCGGAACCCGGACATGTGGACGGCACTTGCGGCCATGCACTGCAGGAGCGGGGATGCGCGCGAGGCGGAGCGGGTCATGGCGGCGGTGGACGGCGGCATACCCGCCAGGAGCGTCGTGTCGTGGACGGTGATGGTGGAGGCGTATGCGCAGGCCGGGCACATTGGCCTGGCGGCGCAGCTCTTCTCCAGGATGCCCGAGCGCGACACTGTGTCGTGGAACGTTATGGTCGTGGCCTACGCCCACTGCGCCCGTGTCAACGCCTCCGTTCACTGCCTCCACACGATGCACGTCCTGGGGCTGCAACCCAATGGGAGCTCCCTCTTGAGCGTCCTCTGCGCGTGCAACCACATTGGGACCGTGAGCTCCGCGTCCCAGTCCATGGTATCGATGATGCTGGACCACGGCATCACGCCCCAGCCCCATCACGTCTCGTGCCTGGTTGACATATTGGGCCGTGCAGGGCAGCTGCGCAACGCCCAGGAGCTTGTGGAGGAGCATGGAGGTGGCCCGGGATGGGAGAGCCTGCTGGGAGCCTGCCAAGTCCATGCTGGCGGCGCCATCGGCCGCGAAAGCCTGGCCGCCCAGCGTCTCATGATCAACAAGCCAAAGACTGCGTCATGGTTTCGGATGTTGTGTCGCGGAACCAGCTGCTATCAGCCTACTGCCGTGGTGGGCATGTTGGCCAGGCCAAGAGGCTGTTTGATGCAATGCCGCTGGCGGAGCGAGACTTGATATCTTGGACCGTGATGCTTGTTACTTATGCTCGCTGCGGCGACATCGGGCAAGCGCGGCAGGCGTTTGACGAGATGCCTCTGCGCGACCAAGTGTCCTGGAATGCCATGCTCGTGGCCTATGCCGACACTGGGCACCTGTGTCAAGCCAAGCAGCTCTTTGACGAGATGCAGGAGCCCAACCTCGTCGCTTGGAATGCAATGATCACTGCATATGCGGAAAATGGGGACGTTACCAGTGCCCAGCTCTTGTTTGACACCATGCCGCTGAGGGCATTGCCGTCTTGGAATGCTCTAGTGACTGCATATGCGGGAAACGGGCACGTTGGCAACGCCGTCGCCATCTTTAACCAGATGCCCGAGAGAGACTTGATATCTTGGACCGCGGTGCTTTCTGGCTTTTCTAAAGCAGGTCAGCCGGAGATGGTTGAACACATGTTTGAACAGATGCCGCAGCACAATCTCGTGTCCTGGAACGTCATGCTTTCGGCATTTGCCCATGTCCGGGATTTGGAAAGCTCTAAAGTGGTGTATGATAGGATGCCACAGCACGACATGGTATCGCACAACGTTGCTCTGTTCGTGTACGCACACACCGGTTGCCTGCAGCAGGCCAGAGACATTTTCTACTCGATGCCGCAGCACAACCTTGTGACGACCAACTCCATGCTCTCTGCTTGTGCTCACAACGGGCAATCGAATGAAGCGGAGGCTCTCTTCCACAGCATGCCACGGCGGGACGTCGTGTCATGGAATGCCATGCTTGCTATGTACTCCCACAAGCAGGAATTCAGCAGCGTGGAGCGCCTCTACACCAGAATGCCTTGCCACGACTTAGTCTCGTGGAACACAATGCTGGGGGCACAAGCGGAGCAGGGCAAGCTGCACCAAGTGAAGCTGCTGCTCGAAGAGATGCCTCAGCAGAACCTTGTGTCTTGGAACACCTTGCTGTTTGCATACACTCAAACTATGTCCGCGTACTCGACTAGCACAGGGGAATTGCTGGTGCTGCTGGAGCAGACCAAGCACGTTTATGATACCATGCCTCAGCGCGATATCATATCGGCAAACTGCATGCTGTCTGCATATGCGCAGGGCGGCCATGACCAAGACGCCAAGCGCCTGTTTGATGCCATGCCCGATCGGGACATCGTCTCTTGGAATGCTCTCCTGTCCACGTATGGACGATGCGGGCAGCTCCAGGAAGCCCAGATGTGCTTCAGGCGTATGCCATGGCGAAATGTCCTTTCCTGGACGGTCTTGCTGGTTGCATATGCTCTCAATGGTAACATGGATGTGGCCAAGGAGCTGTTTGATACAATGCCAGATACGGACGTGATCTCGTCGAGTGCCATGCTAGCTGCATACGTCCGAAACGGACATTCGAACTCCGCTTTTGGTTTGTTCAATGAGTTGAAGACGAGAACGCCTCCGGACGAGGCATGCTTTGTCTCGGCTCTCGTTGCTTGCGGCCAGTTAGGCGAGGTGTACATGGGCAGGAGCTGCTTCATCTCCATGAGCATGGACTTCGGCCTTTGCGCCACCAAGCAGCACTATTGCTGCATGGTGGACCTCTTGGGGCGGGCGGGGCATTTGATTCAAGCGGAAGAGCTCATGCACAACATGCCGTTTGTTCCTGACTCGTCCGAGTGCAGATCATTGCTGGGGGCTAGCAGGAGCGGCCATGAGACATTCGCATTTAGGCATGGCTCGACCGCTCGCGTTGCTAAACGTGCCCTTGAGGACAGCCCCGAGAATGCGGCTTCGTATGCATTGCTGGCCAGCACAGTGCTAGCGTGAACTTAGATTCCTAGCATTCTCCCAGATTTGGTTTCTTTCGTTAGTGAGCTAGCTACTTAGTAGCGTTAGCTCTAATACTCTTCACCTTCGTCCTCGCCTTCGCCTTCAGTGGAGTCAGCGCCAACTTCTTCGTAGTCCTTCTCCAGAGCTGCCAAGTCTTCACGAGCTTCCGAGAACTCTCCTTCCTCCATCCCCTCACCGACGTACCAGTGGACGAAGGCACGCTTGGCATACATGAGGTCGAACTTGTGGTCGATCCTGGAGAAGACTTCGGCGACACTTGTGGAGTTGGAGATCATGCACACGGCTCGCTGGACCTTGGCAAGGTCACCGCCAGGAACCACAGTCGGAGGCTGATAGTTGATTCCGCACTTGAATCCGGTGGGGCACCAGTCGACGAACTGGATGGTTCTCTTGGTCTTGATGGTTCCCACGGCCGAGTTGACGTCCTTGGGCACAACGTCTCCTCTGTACATGAGGCAGCACGCCATGTACTTGCCGTGTCGCGGATCGCACTTGGCCATCATGGATGCAGGCTCGAATGCGGTGGAGGTGATCTCGGACACGGACAGCTGCTCATGGTACGCTTTTTCTGCCGAGATGACCGGGGCATACGAAGAAAGCATGAAGTGGATACGCGGGTACGGCACCAAGTTTGTCTGGAACTCGGTGAGGTCGACGTTGAGAGCACCGTCGAAGCGGAGTGAAGCCGTGAGGGACGAGATGATCTGCGGCACACGAAACCAAGAAGAAGAACGCGGTCATAATGAAAGGGGGATGAAATACCTGGGACACAAGCCTGTTGAGGTTGGTGTAGGTAGGCCTCTCGATGTCGAGCGATCGCCGGCAAATGTCGTAGATGGCTTCGTTGTCGAGAATGGCAGCAACGTCGGTGTGCTCGAGCAGGGAGTGCGTGGAAAGGACGCTGTTGTATGGTTCTACAACGGCAGTGGAGACTTGTGGAGACGGGTAGACCGTGAAGCCGAGCTTGGACTTCTTGCCGTAGTCGACGGACAGGCGCTCCAGGAGAAGAGAGCCGAGGCCGGAACCGGTGCCACCTCCAACGGCATTGAAGACAAGGAATCCCTGGAGACCAGTGCAGTTGTCAGCCAGTTTGCGGACACGGTCCAGGCACAGGTCCACGATTTCCTTTCCAACTGCAAGAGAGTATCGTGTTGAGGCGTAGATATAATCAAGATGGCATGTAGCCGCGGCAACTTACTGGTGTAATGCCCGCGGGCGAAGTTGTTTGCGGCGTCTTCCTTTCCGCTGATAAGCTGCTCCGGATGGAAGAGCTGGCGATAAGTTCCGGTCCTCACTTCGTCGATGACGGTCGGCTCCAGGTCCAGGAACACGGACCGGGGGACGTGCTTGCCGGCTCCAGTCTCGCTGAAGAAGGTGTTGAAGGCATCGTCACCGCCCCCGACAGTCTTATCGCTGGGCATCTGTCCATCAGGCTGCGTTTGCAAAGGCAATTTCAACAAGGATTAGAACGAGTTGGTCGTCATCAGCATGGTTTGTGTCGTATATACTTGAATGCCGTGCTCCAGGCAGTAGAGCTCCCAGCAGGCATTGCCAACTTGAATCCCGGCCTGGCCAATGTGGATCGAGATGCACTCTCTCATCTTGCCCGCTGCTACGAGTTTGCTGAGAGCTGCGAGGACTTCAGCAACAAAGCGGGTGGAGGCGGAGAAGGTGGTGAAGGCTTTTATATACGACTACGCCGGAAATCCCGGTCAGCCGACTTGCCGGCCGTTAGCTAACTAACTCATGGACGGAATATACCCGGGGTGACCCTTGCTATCTTCTTTCCGTACGGAATAAACCCATTAATCATCCTGCATGGAAATCTAATGTACAGGTTGGTTTTTTGAGATTGGAAGGAATGATGAATCTTTCGTCGTCTAGGCTAGCTGCTCACTTCCGGGTAGCTGTTTAGTGATGCATCGCGGGCTGCGGCATGGGGTACGCCATATGAGGATGAGCAACATTGAGAGGAGTACCTGGAACCGGCCTGCTCGATACGTGACCTCTTCCTGCTGCCACTGCGTAAGCTCCGTGGTGAACAACCGGGACCGGAGTTCCAACCGCAGGAGGTTGCGAGTAAGCACCAGGCGCTGTTGCCGCCCCCGTCGACGCGGAGGAGGATGCTCCCCCACCACCACCGCCTCCGCCGCCGCCTCCACCACCTCCCGCTGCTCCCTGCCCTGTTATCGGGCCCTGCGCTTGCTGCCTTCCGTCACCATTGACGCTGGTGATATCATGGATGCTCGTCCGCCGCTTGTCCTTGTGGATGGAGTTGAGGCGAATGAAATACTTTTGAGCGTGGCTGGCCACCTGTGTGGGTGTTCGTGACACCACAAAGTTCCTCGAGATACTCCGCCAGTCCCCTTTGCCGAACTTCTCCAGTCCCAGCAAGAAGAGCCTAGGTAGGAGGAGGTGTGATAGCAAACACGTCAGTAAGCTTTGCATGGACGAGAGAAAAGAGGGAGAGGGAGAGAGGGAGAGAGGTGACAAGAATCGCACCTGTGCTCGTCTTCGGTCCATGGGATGCCTTTCCTGCGCTCCTGATCCTGGGCCTTGCTCTTGGAGGAGGAACCAGCACTGGCATGGTTGTTGGAGTTGGAATTGGAAGCGTTGTTGACAGCCGGGGTGGCGCTAGAGGAGCTCCCATTGGCAGCGGCATGGTGGTGGTGGCCGTGGTGCTGCTGGTGATGGTGGAGATAGGCAGGAGACGAGCAAGAGGAGGAAGGCAGCCCGAGCTTCTTGTCCAGGGCCAAGCTGCTGTCCTTGACGAGCAGCGCATCCCTGGGACTGTAGCACGGCAGCGCAATCAGCCCGGCCTCAATGCTCGAGATGTCGCGCAGCAGCAGCTCGTAGTGAGCCCGGACGTCGGCGGCGGTCTTTCCAGGCACCAACGCCGCCACTGCCTCCCACCGGCTGCCCGCCACACCCTCGGGATCATCACACTTGTCCTCCCACCCGGCAAGAGCTTTCTCAAACAGCTTGTCCTGCTCGCTGCTCCACTTGGAGGTGGCGGCGGCGGCGCCGGGCGAGGTACAAGAGTTGGCTGCGCTACTGGAGGCGGCGGAGGCAGCCGCTGCCATCCACGCTGCTGCTACTGTCACAAACAACCTCTGCGTGCCTTGTTTAGCTACCTCCCTGCCCCAATTCCCTGGACACCAAGCCTTTCCATGGCTTGCCCCGGCCTCCGGCACTCGAGCACCCAGCCAAGCAGCGAATGAGGAACCCTAAGGGCTTCAGATCTGCTGCCATTGCCTTCCTCCTCTCTCGTCTGGCTTGTCTGGCTTGGCTGGGAGACAAATTGGAGCTCGCTCGCTCGCTCACCCTTAAGCTCTACACTTGATTTGCAGGGCCTGGCCTGGCCTGGGTCACGATGGAGACGGCGGACGAAAGTGACCACACACCATCTTCATCTTGGCCCGGGCGAAATAAAGAACAGGGTAAAAGAGAAAGATCCAATTAACGGCCACGATGCTGCCAGCGTGGCGTTGAGGATAAGGTTTGCCGTGCCACGTCACGAAATGACGCCGCTGGACAACACGTCACACGGATTTGCGCAAAACCCACCGTTAAATTAACTCCGAACTTAAGCTAAGCAACATCAACAAGCTCGATTTCAAAAACCAACCATGAGTTTGGTGGGATTGATCCGACAGCCCTCGCACCATACCTGCGCCGAGAAATTTAGCAAAACCATATCAGATGCATTGACATCGTGATTCACTCACCCCATGGATGGAGGAATCACAACTCTCCTCTTGTCTCCTACTCTCATTCCTGCAAGAAAGAATCGAGGATTTGTATCAAAAGACGAAGGGAGAGAGAGCTCACGCATCTTACCATTGACACCCACGTCGAAGCCCTTGACTACTTCGTTAACCCCTGCAAGAACCAAGTGCCACAAGTTAGATCTCTTTTCTCGGCCACAAAGGAGGAAAACAGCAAGCATCGGCAGCCAGCACAAGCAAGACGCTAACCCAATCTGAAACGGAATGGCTTTCTGCCTATGGTGCTGTCAAATATCTTCCCATTCGACTTAAGCTTTCCGACGTAGTTAATCAGGACCTGCACCAAGACTCAGGGACCAATCGTGCAAGTATGCGAAAGGAATGCGACCGGCGTCACCGCTTTACCTTCTTCCCCGGCTTGGCTTGCTTGCCGTCGGGCTTGCCAAGTGCCAAGTCCTGAACTTCGAGGCCATTCGGGAACTTCTTGGCCGCCTTGTCCTTCTTTCTAGCCTTCTTCTCCTGGAGCTTGCCGTCGCCATTCCCTTCCGGCACACCCTCCTCCTGGTTTGCTGCCTTTTTGCCCTTCTTCTTCTTGTTCTTCTTTGCTTCGCCAGGGCTGGTTGGCGTGTCACTGCAAAGAGCATTAGCTCCAGTTGTTATTACTAATGAAACCTTGGTGTACCTGACAGACGTCTTGGCGCTTTTCTTCGGCAACTCGGCAGAGGCGGCTTTCCTCTTGGACGGCAAGGCGAAGCCATCCTCGTCTTCACTCTTCTCCTCCTCCTCCTCCTCCTCCTTGTCGTCCTTCTGATCCTGAGCCGGCTGTGTTTCAGTGTTTGCTTTAGCCGGAGCAGGAAGCGCCTTTTCAGGCTCGTCGTCGTTAGTGATCTCCTCAATCTTCACTGCCAAGTCGAACGCCATCATACCACGACTTGCTGATAAATTACGAAGAGAGCTCACCTCCGGATCCAAGGCGCTCCTCTTCTAGGTCCTCATCGTCCTCCTCGTCATCGTCTTCCTCTCCAGGATCGACAATGAAGCTGATATTGACAAAAGATCAACGAGTAAACGCCCGTGGAGACTGGAGACAAGAGAAAGGGATACATACTCTTGATCAAACTCGTCTTCTTCACCATCGTAGCTCTCGTCGTCGTCTTCGTCACTGAAGGGTTCCATGTAGTAGCCAGAGAGATGGATGGGTGTAGAGCCCGTCACGGAGAAGACAACGTCGTCCTCGAAGTTGAGGTCGAGATAGCACGTCTCGTGAAGTCCAGGCTTGAGCGAGCACACAAAGACCGGCGGCCCCTCTCCACCCTTGCATTTGAGAATACTCCTCTCACCATCCTTGGCATTTTGGCCCAGAGTCGCCTAGACCAAACGAAAAGCTTTGAGCCTCTGTTGGCGATGGAATGGATCACCCACCTGAGAGATATGCAGCCGCCGGCCTTCGAGCTCGTCGCGCTCGACGAGAAAAGGCTTCTTCGGCTTGAGCTTCGCACCTGGGAGCGATGGAGAAACGTCACGGCAGGCCAAGGGAGGCGAAGCGGCTTACCCCAGAACACCATTTCGTCGCCGCAGCCCACAAACCCTAAACCCTTGGGGCGATCTCGACTGTCGGTTATTTAGATAGATCGCTAATGTAAATATCTTCCCCATGGATGGATTAGGTCATCGATCGAGCAATGCATGGCGCAGCGCCACGGCTCAAGGATCACCACCACGCCTCCGCTCGCTACGCCGCTCACCAGGGCGACAGGAAGGTCCAGTGCGTTGTGGCAGTAGAGGAGCGGGACAGCAAGAGCAGGCTGATGTTGGGCGCCTCCTCCTCCTCCTCCTCGTCGCTCTTGTGCCTTGGTATCAACACGCGCTTCTTCACCGCCAACAAGCTCATCTCCTCATCGCATTCTCGAGCTGGCCATGGGCGGCGGAGCGGCGCCATGCTGATGCTGGCCCAAACCCCGCCGCCGCCATCGCCGCCATCGCCGCCCCCGCATTCCTCGTTCCTGCCACAGCAGCCGCGCTTCCACTCGAGCTCATGCGTTCTGGCCAGTCACGGCGAGCTGGGCGCTGCAACCATTTGGCACGCTCTCCTGCCTAGCAGCTCCACCTCCAGCTCCAGCCCGTATCGCCTCTCCGCCGCCACAGCTTTCAGCAATGGATCGTGGAATGTGGCAGGGGATGCACGCCCGGCACGCTGGCTCCAAGGGAGGCACTCGGCGTGGCTCCTGTTTGGCTTTTGTTCGTGCTTCTCTGCCGCGGTAGCGTCCGGCATGAGGTCCATAGCATGCTGCGAGGCTCCCTCCTCTCTCGATCAATCCCTCACCCACGGCAAAAAGGTTCACAAGGAGTTTGCGGTCATAGGTACGTTGCCCGCGCAACCCAGTATGTATAAGGTAGCTCAAGAGGTGACGCTGGTGGTGGTGGTGTCAAGGCATTCCTGGAGATGGACGCTGTCTTTTTCGTGCTGTGGCTCACGGTTGGTGCACCAAACAGGGCAAGCCAACGCCAGACGAGGAAACGCAGAGAGAACTTGCAGACAATTTGCGGGAAAAGGTTTGGCATTGTGCTTGGTTCGTTTGTCTGACTTGCTTTGGTTGATTCCTGCGCCTCGGAAGGTTGTGGATGAACTCGTCAAGCGCCGTGCGGAGTCGGAATGGTAAGATGGGAGACCGACATTCATTCTCATCTCACTTGAAAAGCAGGTTCATTGAAGGCGATTTCGACGAGTACACAAGACGGATGAGGCAAGCAAACGTGTGGGGCGGCGAGCCGGAGCTCCTCATGCTATCACATGTCCTCGGGTAACAAGCTATCTTTCTTTCATTGGGCTCACTTATGTTTGGATCCAGGTTGCCGATCACAGTTTACATGGCCGATGAACGCTCGAACGGTGTCATAGCGATTGCAGAGTACGGGCAAGAATACGGGAAAGGCAAAGGAAATCCCATCAGAGTGTTGTACCATGGGTTTGGACACTACGATGCTCTCCTGATGCCGGGCGACGCTGGTCAGGGCGGTGAGTAACGCAGCAGGGTGGAAGCGATACCACAAAAAGTTTGGTTTTGAAGATATCTTTGTCCAGAGGTCCGGTAATCTGGACTGAGAAACAAGCAAACCAGTCGAGAGCTTAGAGAGGCTGAGATAGCTGAGCTTGCTCCTCGACCTGAGGAACTAAAAACTTTGATGACAAAGGAGCTGCGTCCTCACAATTAACTTGTCTCACTCGTCATGCACACAAGTCAGTCACCGGAGATCAATCGACCACGATCCAAGTGACCGTTTCCACAGGTACGTCGTGTTTGATTCGCGGCATATTTTAGAGGCTAAACAAATGGCATGGTGAATTGTTTATGGACAGTTTGAAAGGCTATACTGTTCGCTCGCTGCTATGCGCCTAGTGAGGAGTGTGTGTGACTTTCTAAAAAAATAACAGTGCAAGCTTCGAAAACATCTTCTCCATTCGCAGGCAATCACTGCGAGTGGAGATCCTACCCATAAAAACAAGAAAGAAAATCGAAGCCTGCAAAGCTTTGTCTTGTCCTGGCAATGGCACCAACGGCCGGGATGGAGGCGGGGGATTCAACGGTGGGGATGGAGCGCTGCTCTTGCTCGGTCATGGCGCCCGACACACAACTCACATACAGCTCTGCGTTGTTTCCACTTTGGCTTCGCGGGCCTTTTGGGCTTTTTGGCATCGCCCCCTTGATTCCGGTTGCGCAGTTGCAGCTGCCCATAAAAGAGTTTGGTGCGTGCGACGGAAAGTTGGAAAGCAATGTCCGCTCTTCTAATCCTCCTGGGATCCATCTCATTGCTATCTGGACAAATTTACCCCGGGATCCATCCATTCTCGTGGATAGCTAAGCACTAATGCGGGGATGGAGGAGCAACAGCACCCGCCACCAGGCCTTTCAGGCCTCTCAGGTTTGTTGTTGTCGAGGCAATGTGGGCACTACCCCGTAGGTCCCGGAGGAGCTAGCACAACGTAGATAGCCTTGGATGATTTGCTCGGCGATGGTGGCGGTGTGGTGGCTGGCAGCAGCAGCGGTGCTGGTGCTGCTGGTAGAGCACGCACTGGCCCTGAATTCGGACGGGTTGAGCCTGGTGGCATTCAAGCGCGGCATCTTCAGCGACCCCGAGAGAGCGCTGTCGGACTGGGACGAGTCGGACGCCACCCCGTGCCGGTGGAGCGGCATCAGCTGCGCCAGCATTCGTGGCGAGTCGGAGCCGCGCGTGCAGGGCGTCATGCTGGCCAAGAAGCAGCTGGTGGGATCCATGTCGCCCGACCTGGGCTCGCTCTCCTACCTCGAGCACCTCAACCTCCGCCAGAACCAGCTCATTGGGGGCCTCCCGCCCGCGCTCTTCAACGCCTCGGCCCTCCAGACGCTCCTCCTCTCCGACAATGATCTCTCGGGGCCCCTGCCCGCCTCCATCTGCGGCACCGCCGCCAGCCTCGACACGCTCGATCTGTCGGGCAACGGCTTCTCGGCCACCATACCCGACTCCATCGCCTCGTGCACCGCCCTCCACTCGCTCGTCCTCAGCGGCAACCGCCTCACGGGTGGCATTCCTCTGGGGCTGTCCCGGGCGCCACTCCTCCGCCTGGATCTCTCCAGCAACCGGCTGACGGGCGCCATCCCCGACGACCTTGGCGGCTTGCTCCAGCTGCAAGGCACGCTCAACCTCTCGGACAACAACCTCTCGGGCCCGATCCCGCCATCGCTGGGCAGGCTCCCGATCTCTCTCAGCATAGATCTCAGCTTCAACAATCTGTCGGGTCCCATTCCACTCAACGGCACGCTGTCCAACCAAGGACCCACTGCCTTCCTCGGCAACCCGGGCCTCTGTGGGCTCCCGCTCAAGACCAAGTGCGACGACGCCGCCACCACCCCGCACGGCGTGTTTGGAGGTGGAGGTCCGTCGGGCTCTGGCCCGCCTAGCACGAGTGCGGGCACGAGCACGAGCACCAACACGAGCACGGCCTCCACCCGCAACAGTGGTGGCCGGCTTGGCACCAAGCAGGTTGTAGCCATCGCTGTGGGCGACTCAGTGGGCATCTTGGTCATTGCTTGCGCTCTCACGTACTGCCTCTACTGTAGGAGGAATGGCAAGGGGTCCAAGACATCCAGCTGCAAGGGCATCGGTCATCGATGCTGGCCATGCTGCTCCTGCTGCTGCTGTGCCAGCGCTAGAGGTGACAAGTCGGAGTCGGAGGACACGGACAATGAGGAAGGTGGCGGCAACAACGCCAGCATGCACAAGCATCGCGTGGTCGGCAGCGAGAGTGGCGAACTGGTGCACTTCGACCAGGAATCCGAGAAGCAGTTCGATCTGGATGCGCTCCTGCGCGCGTCTGCCTACGTGCTTGGCAAGGGCAGCTCCGGCATTGTGTACAAGGCCGTCATGGATGGCGGCCTCACGGTGGTGGTCCGAAGGCTGGGAGCGGAGGGAGAATTTGGAGCGGGCGTGGATGCCACCACCAGTAACCCCGCCTCTAAGAAGGTGGTCAAGGAGTTTGAGTCGGAGGTGAAAGCAATCGGCTCGCTGTGCCACCCCAACGTCGTTGCATTGCGAGCCTACTACTGGGGAATGAACGAGAAGCTGCTCGTCTACGACTTCATGCCCAATGGGAGCTTGGCAGCCGCCATGGAGCAGCACCAACAGCACTGGATCCGCTTGCAAGACAGCACCCAGCACCAGCAGCAACAAGGTACGAAGATGATGATTTGGATTTGTTCCCTCACTCACTTCTGCACACACGCACAGCAGCGATCTCGGCAGCGGACGACGAGTGGCTTCTGTCGTGGCCGCAGAGGCTGAGCATCGCCAAGGACGTAGCTCGCGGCCTGTCCTTCCTCCACGACGGCACGGCAGCACGCATGAGAAACATCCACGGCAATCTCAAGCCGTCCAACATACTGCTGGATGCCAACCGCGCGGCCCGCATTGCCGACTTCGGTGTCGTGCGGCTCACCGAGATCCTGGCCTGCCACGACACGCTCTCCTCCTCCACGTCCTCCCTGCGCTCGGACGTGGCGCCTGGCAACAGGTCCTCCAGGTCCAACGTGGACGTCCCCACCGCCGTGGACCAGCACCTGGACGTGGGTCCATCCTGCGGCGGAAGCAGCTCCAGCCTGAGCTTGTACTCGGCCACCGCGTCCATCTACCGGCCACCCGAGGCGGCGCATCCCAATTCCCGGCCCACGCACAAGTGGGACGTCTACTCGTTCGGTGTGATCCTCATGGAGATGTTAACCGGCTCGGCATCTGCGCACCTGGCCTCTTCGGACGTGGACATGGTGCTGGCCGTGAGGAGGATGCTGCTGTCTTCCTCCTCCAAATACTCCGTTGCAAGCTTCGATGGGGATCCGCTCTTGAAGCCACCTGCTGCTCCGCACGGCGGTGTCGATTCATCAAACAGTGCGAGCAGTACGAGCAGCAGTAATGCCAATGCCACAGGGAGCAGCAGTAGCAGCAACAGCATGACAACGACGATGCTCATGGCTGGCATCCGTGCCGAAGCGGAGGCCATGGAGCTGCTGCAGCTGGCTCTGCGCTGCGTCTCTTCGTCTCCAGAGCAGCGGCCCAAGATGAAGCATGTCGTCGAGTCCCTGTCCAAAGTTGGTACCACCTGATGGTGATCAAATTCAATTCCCCGCTACTCGAGCCACCTCAGCCGGATGCATACGTGTTCGCCATGAGCACGTAAGCTGCGCTATCACGGTCGTCCAGTTTCTGTATCGCCTCGAACGCCACCTTTGCTGCCTCAACATTCTTCCACCTCTGGCACGACGCCAGCAGACTCTTCCACACGCTCAATCCCTTCACTGGCATCTCCATTGCCAACGCAGCCGCTTCCTCTAGGCGATTGGAACGCCCCAGCAAGTCCACCATGCAGCTGTAGTGCTCGTACCAGGGAGCAATGCTGAAGCGCGGGGAGGCCATGAGTTGGAAGTAGTGCTTTCCCTGGTCGACCAGGCCCGCGCGCCCGCATGCCGTGAGGAGCGACAGGAAGGTGAAACCGTCCACCTGCAAGCGTCGCTCCAGCATATCGCCAAAGAGGCCAAACACGCGCTGTGCGTCTCCCTGGTGGCTGTAACCCGTCATGAGTGAGTTCCATGCCACAGACTCCTTGGCAAGGAATGCAGCCGAGGAGTCGAATATGTGTTGGGCGTCCACCATGCTCCCGCACTTGCCAAAGAAACTGATTAGAGAGCTTGCTATCAGGACGTTCTTCTCCTCCATCAGTCCGGAACCGCGCACCTCGTCGTAAATCGTCCGTCCGGCCTCCAAGTCCCCTTTGCTGCCACAGGCTTGGAGTGCTCCAGCGTAAGTCAGAGCATCCGGTCTAACGCCTTGGCGTTTCATGCGTGAGAAGAGCTGCATCGCGCAGTCAGGCTCGCCGTTGTGAGCACAGCCAAGAATGATGGCATTCCAGGTAACAAGGTTGACGTTGCGATCGGGCATCCGGTCGAAAACCTCCAGTGCCTCTCGTGTGCTCCCACATTTGCTATACGCATCGATGAGGCTGCTTCCCAAAAATGCATCAAGCTCAGGTCCATTGTCAACAAGCTGCGAGTGGAGACCCCTGACCTCCTCCAAGTAGCATGCTTTTACGTCCTCTCCGCCACCAGGACCTGCTTTAGAAGCTCCACATGAGCAAGCACTTAGCGCAGCCATGAAAGTCCTGGAACTCGGTGTAAAGCCTTCGTCTTGCATGCGTCTAAACAAACTCAAAGCCTCTCCTCCATCACCGGCTTGAGCATAGCCAGATATCATCGCGTTCCAGCACGACACGTCACGAACTTGCAGCTTGTCAAAGACCTCCCGACCATCTGCTATGCTTCCACACTTCGCAAAGAAACCAACCATACTGCTCCCGAGAGTGCCATCGTTGTCTAACCCGGCGCTGCGGATCTCGGCCTGGATGCCTCTGCCGCGTTCCAAATCCCCGATGCTTCCACAGGCCTTGAGAACGGCAGCAAAAGTTCGAGCGTTTGGTAAAACACCCTCCGCTTTCATGCGTGCAAACGCGTCGAGCGCGGAGCGTGCGTCACCATTGTCAACATATCCCAGGACGAGCGCATTCCACGATCCCATGTCCCGGTGCTGCCGCGGCATTGCTTCAAACACCTGCCGAGCCTCGTCAAAAGCACCACACCTTGCATAGGCGTCGATCAGACTGCTGCCTAGGAGGCCCGCTCCCTCCGTGCTCTTTGAAAGCCGAGAGTGAATGTCCCTTACTCGTTTCAAAAGCTCTGGCTTGGAACGCCCGCTTGAGTTTGCACACCCGTTGAGCACAGCGGCAAAAGTTCCAGAGCCGGGTAAGTATGCTTCGTCTTGCATGCGCTGAAACAAAATATGAGATGCGTCACCGTGTCCACAAGAAGCACAGCCTTGGATCATGGCGTTCCACAACACTTGATCGTGCGAAGGCATGCTGTCGAATACCTGAAACGCATCGTCGAGCCTGCCGCATGCCGAGTACATCTCCAAGAGAGTGCTCGCAACGTACACGTCCGCCTCCACCCCTCTCCTGACAAGCTGGGAGTGAATACCCCTTCGCTTGTCTATGCTTCCAGCTTTGTGTTCTTCACAGGCGCAGGCCTTGAGCACAGCAACGAACGTCCGGGCATCTGGCTCGCAGCTCTCCCCTTTCATTGCCGAAAAGGCTTCAAGGCACTCGTCGCCATGTCCGTTCCGAGAGTAAGCCATAAGCATGCTGTTCCAAAGCACCGTGTCCCGGTGCACCACCTTGTCAAAGACGGAGCGAGCATCCGTGAGTGCTCCACACTTCGAATACATGTCCACCAAACTGTTCGCTACAAACACATCCAGAACGTGGCCACTCTCTACAATGCGGGCGTGTAGAGCTCGCCCCTTTTCGAGAGCAGCCGTCTTGACAAGCCTGGCGTTGCCACCTCCGCCGTCAAGCTGATAGCATCCTTGCTCCGTGGTAGCCAGGTAAATGCAAGCTCCCAGGGCCGCCACAAACGTAGCAGCATTTGCCTGGACGCCTCCACAGCGTTGCATGCGTTCCACCATCTCCAACGCGGTGTGCCAGTCGCTAGCCTCGTCGCTGCGTGCGTACGCTCCGATCATGGCATTCCACAGAACCACATCACGATTTACCGTTCTGTCAAAGATCCTGCGCGCTTCCGCCAACTCGCCACCTCTCGAGTACAAATCCACCAGCGCGCTTGCAACAAACACGTCTGCCTCGAGCCCGGACTTTGAAACAAGGGAATGGACAGCTCTCCCATGCTCCATCGCCATCGTCTTCTTCTCCCCCTTGCTCGTATCCTCGGGCAGGAGAGCACTGCAAGCCTTGAGAGCAGCCAGGAGAGTCCGAGCGTCGGGCGAGAAGCCTTGGTTTCGCATCTGGCCGAACAGTCGCAGAGCAACGTCCGCTTGGCCGCCGCGAGCACAGCCCATGATGAGAGAATTCCACGACACGACGCTGCGCTGCCGCATCCTCTCAAACGTTTGGCGTGCCAATGCCAAGCTGCCACACTTGGCGTACATGTCCACCACACTGTTTGCCACCACCAGGCCCATGCCGCCCTCCTCCTCGCTGCCCCGCTCCTCCACCACCGAGCCATGGATTCTCATTCCGCTTGCCAGGTCTCTCCGCCGCCCGCATTCTTGGAGCGCCGCCACAACCACTGACTCGCTTGGCGTCGCGCCCTGCGCCCGGATCTGCTCGTACACTTGCAACGCATTGGCAGCGGCGGACGTCCCCGCTCTCCCCCCTCGGCCCCTCATCTTCGCACACCATACCTTCGTCTTCCTCGTCCACTCAAGCCCTAACTTGGCAGCGCGTTGGTGGAATTGAATTGTGGTACCTTTGCTGGAAATTTGTTGTTATAATAAACAAAAACTGTGTGAAAGATGACATTGATTGAGGATGCTCAGTCCATTTTGAGCCCACCAAATCGAAAACAAATGGAGACCCCTTTCTCAACACACACACCATATCTTGTAAGCTCAAGCTTCCCCGTACAGATCTATATGATTCTCACCTCGGAAACAAATTCCAGGCAATGTCTACATCCTCGTAGTATCCAGATTGGTAATCACAGTTGATAATCTTGGATGCCACTCTCATAGCAGAGAAGTCCTCATGTTCTTCCTCACAATCTTATGGTTTGAAGACCAAAACTTCTCTTCATGCTCAAGAGGCTCCCGTGGCGATAAAGCCAAACAATATATCTTCGGAGGCACTTTGATCAAAAGGTCGTGACCATGGTAGTAACTCGCAACCCTGGGGGAATGAAAATCCCGTGACTCCAACCTTGATTGCGTATTGCCAGCAAATATAACCCCTAAGATCTGGAATGTCTGCAATGGTGTAACATCCATCTTCATGCAGAGCTATATGGATCTGCAGCTCTTCTCTCTAAAAATGTTGCCACTGCATTTATAATTTGATTCCCGAACACCATAACCATGCTTGCAGACAAGGCCACCCTTAGAGGAAGCAACATTGGACAAATTTCCAAATTGGAATCCCATGGCAACCTCAGCAAAATAGTTCTCCGCTTTAGATTTCAGATTCGAAATTGGGGAATATGCAGTCAATTGTGTCGATCACGAACCAACTTGCGAGGCTAAAAGACCTTGAATACGTCCGGCACGACTGTGGGTGAAGTACTACATACCACTTTTTTTTTTATGGTCTCCTTGTTATGCAAGTTTGGGAACTGGCGTCACTTTCTTTGGTGGTGGGTTGCCGCCGGCAAGGAAAACATAGCAGAAAAACCCGAGCATAGCTCCGCTACATGAACAAAATCTCAGTTAGAAAAACAATCCAAGCCTATGGTAGGAGACTCACCTCACGAGTGAAGCCAGCATTGGCAGTAGAGACACTCTCTGGCGTGCTTTCCCAAGCTGCACGAGAAAAATCACAAACGCTATGGCTGCCAGGGAAAGAAGTCAGCCATGCCAACACGAGGGCAATGGGAATGGAGCGCTAACCTGCCTGGCCCTGAATGTAAGACATGGAGGACTTTCCCTTCTTCCAGGCGTTTAAGCTGGAGACGCTGAGCATCAAGAGAAGACCGCCCAAGACGAGGCCGACTTGTATAGCCCAAGCGCTGCCAGTGAGTATGAACGAGGCGACACCACTCGCAACAAGCACTCCTCCTGCGGACGATCAAAGAGCAAAGCTTATATATAAGAGAAAAGAGGCTTATAAGAGGGAAATAGAAATAAGCTATCACCCACACCATATGGGATGCCCAGGCAAAAGTCGTGGAGCTTGGCCCCCTTGGAGTGTTTCTCGTTGCCCGCCGCGTCCAGGATGTCTTTGACGCGATGGAGGCTGTGATCCACGGCCTGCTCATCCTCCTCCTCGCCCAGCAACGCCGCAGTCACACCAAAATCCCCTTGATCTTCGGTCAAGACACTAGGGTCTACAGAGTCGATCCGGCCAGAATGATCGTCGAATTCGTCCCCGGATCCTGATCCTGAGGCCTTGGAGGATGCCAAGTCATATATGGGGATGGATGAAGGCTCGCTCATTCTTTTCTTACCATGTCCGAGTCGTGATCCAGGGAAAAGCGCGAGAATTGGGAGCTCCATCGAAATGTAGTGAAACAAGGGCGCAGCTGGAGCTTGCGGAGAGGGATGGAGCGCGATCGAGAGATGGATCGAGCATAGCCCAGCCCTACCGGCAGTGGCCTCAGTCCAAGTGCCTCCATTCCGGGAATCGAATGAATCGACGGCCGCGATTTGCTGGATTAAAGCGCTGGGTATATTCTTTGGCATACAACGGCTCATTTCTTACTAGGGCTAGGGTTTAAGGCACGGCGCGGCTATGGAGTTTTGGGGTAAGCGCGAGCGCTGCTAGAGAAGGCGAAGGCGAAAAAGCTTAATCCTTTTCTTGTTGCAGGCGTCAAGGTCTTACCATCCAAGTCTATCAAGTGCCCAGTGGAGGATTCGAGCTATTTGCACATCTCGAATGTAAGCCAAGATCAAGCTGGACGAAACCCCGTGTAACGTGTTTGTTTTGCAGGCTGCTTTGGGCGAGGTGGGATCATCCGCCAAGAATGAACGCGTGATCTTGCGACTTAAGACGCAAGGCGAGGAGATTGTTTTGGGCACGCTCATACCCGGCCAACGCGATCATATCGCGCTAGACTTGATCATTAGCAAGTCTTTCCAGCTCTCGCACAACAGCAGTACGCTGGCTGTGCACTTCTCGGGCTACAGAACGGAAGGGTCGGGTAAGAGAACGTTTTTTTCGCCCTGACCAGCGGACGCACTTACATCTGGAATGTTTACAGGCGAGCTTCAGGAGCTGGATAGGGAACATGACCATGGTGTCCGGAAGGAAAACGGTGTGTTATCTTGTTTAACTACCATCTGCTCTTCTCATGCGCTTGGTTCTTGCACAGGAAATGTCAAAGTTCCGTTAGGCTCGAGCGATAGCGATAGCGAGAGCGACAGCGATGACGATGATGACGACGACGACGATGATGACGGCGACGACGACGACGACGACGACGATGATGAGGACGACGATGAGGTCAACGCGAAGGATCTTGCCTTGCGGCAAGCGATGGTGCGTTTCTTAGGTTCGTAACTTTTTTAAGCGGAAAAATAGTTCTTGCAGATGGAAAGTGATGACGATGACGACGACGACATTGATGAGGGCGACGATGATGACAACGACGACGACGATGACGATGATGACGACGATGAGGAAATTGATGAGGAGGATCTTAGAGCTCGCCTGGTACGCAAAGTCTCACATGTTAAAAACGTGTAGCCTACAATGTTATTTGCAGATGGGAAAGAAGAGAGCTCCGGCAGCTCTTACGCCACCGGCTCAAAAGAAGATCAAAACGCCATCAGGGAAAACGCCAACAGCACCAAAGTCAGGTAAGAAAGATTTATCAGCCGCTGAGGCTGTGGCAAAGACTCCAAAGTCCTCGGGCAAAAAGGAGAAGGACAAGAAAAAGGAAAAGGCGACTCCTGCTACTCCTAATTCGGAGACGAAGAAGGTGAAGTAAAGCTTATCGTTTATATCTCGGCCTAACGTTGGACTTCTGCTTTTAGGCTGGCGGGCAACATCACTGTGGCATATGTTCGCGGTAAGCAAGTTCAGAGGTAGTACAGGGCAGTGCCGTGATGATTCTACATAATCTCGTTAATCGGACCTTTCGAGGAATGACGAGACTTCTGAGTCTGAGCACGCACTTTCTATCAGGAACTACTTGTTAACAGCTGCTTTTTTTGCTGCAGGAATTTTGCCAATGAGGCTGCTCTTACGCAACACAACACAGCGAAGCATAAGTAGTGTGAGGCAGAAGAGTTGTACGACACGCGAGTTAGTGTCTGCTCTTGGAGCAAGCAGATCACCGGCTAGGAGAAATCTTTGTTGCGTAACTAAGTTGTTATGATTTTTTTGGTTCCCTCTAATGCTTATAGCATTGTTTAACATTGAGCAAGTGGGCCTAATTCCTATTTGTTACATCAGTCTTGCTGTTGGTTTTTGAGTAAAGAAATTTCCTTGGATCTGATGGGGTGTTTGATCTGATGCATCTGGTTTCGTGGAAAACGATGATTACAGCGTACGCGCGGGACTCGCAATTTTTTCACGCCAACGATCTCTTTCACATGCTCCCGGAAAGATGGTTTCGTGGACGTATTTCGCCAAAGTTCTCTCATGACTGCATATGCCGGGGCGGGGGATTTGGAGAAAGTTTGACAGATTTTCTCCGAGATGCCTGAAAGGACTGTCATCACGTGGAGCGCGCTCCTGCGGATGCCGTGGATCTCTCCGAGGCGAGAAAAGTCTTTGAACGGACTTCGAAGCACACGGTTGTCTCGTGGTCGTCGTTCATGGTGGCGTATGCCCGGTCGGGGCATATTGAGTACGATCTCCGTGATGCCTCAGAGAGCATTGTTTTGTGGTCGGTTATGGTCGCCACCAGAACTTCCAGAAACGCTTATCGAGTGTTTACAAAAATTCCAAGGTGGAACCACACTGCATGGAACAGTATGGTTCTAGCGTATGCCTCAGACGGGCATTTGGAAGGAGCTATTTGATTCAATGCATCATCGCCGCGTGCTCCGTCCTGCTCCCAGGGCAAAGATCTCTTTGACAGGATGCGTCACACTCTTGTCGCTGCCAATTGCGACAAGGGCTGTCTCGACGAGGCAAAGGCGGTGCTCTCCAAAACGTCGTGTCGTGGAACACATTGGTGACGGCCTATGCCAAGTCCGGGAGCTGCGAGGACCGCTCGAGGCCTTTCACTACATGCCCGAGCTCGATTCAGTCTCCTGGAACGCAGGCCTTCACTATCTCCGGCGACGCACTCGCCGCGAGAGAGATCTTCGAGCACATGCCCCGGAGGAACTCCATGGCGTGATCGATGATGATCCAGAAGTACGCTCACTAAGGCAACATCCATGAAGCATTCGCAAGGAATCCCGAGCACACGACGGTGACTTGGAACTGTATGATCGCGGGCCTCACCTCCAGCGGGAGCTTTCGCCAGGCGCTCCATTTCTTCCATGAGATGCTCGAAGGCTGGCCTCCGAACGAGAGGTTCTCGCTTCGTGCAGCCAGAGCAGGAGCTTGAGCCTGTGCAAGCACCGCATCGATCACAGGTGGCGGACTTTGGCGTCGAGTTTCGCATCGATCACTACCGCTGCGTCGTGGATACGTTTGGTAGGGCCGGGCTGCTTGGCAAGGCCGAGGCGCTCGTCAACTCCATGCCCTACGTCCCCGACTATGTGTCGTGGAAGACGCTGCTGGGAGCGTGTAGAACGCACTCGAGCTCGGAGTGCGAGCAAGGTTTTGCTCGTGGGGGCCGCTGGAGAGAAGCCCATCAACCAGACACTTGATTGTGAGCAATCCGTCGGTGGAGACAAAAGTATGTGAATCAAGATGAGAAGAAAAGCTCCTTGTTTGTCACTTGGACTGGCCGAGTGAAGTAAAACGCATCCATGGACGAGAGCTGCGAGTTCGTTAAGTCGTCCACCCGAAACGGAAAACAGTTTGGGCGATCAGCTGCGTGGGATAAAGCCTACATGGTAAGCAACAGCACAATCAACAAGAAGACGCAACGAATTTGATGAAGAGTAGCAATGAGCTTTTACCTTGGGTTCAGTAGAACATCGGGAAGGAGTCCACAGTCGGCACAACCTTCCTTAGATCAGTGATCAGAAGCGTAGTTGCCACGGGATTTGGATAATTCCCATAACACCACTGGTATTGTGTCACCAAGGTTGTCTACAAAGGCGGAAATATTGTCAATAACGAATTCTCTCTGTTGTCGTACCTTCAGAGCGAACAAGTCTCCCAAGGACCGAAAGCAAAAGACTTGATCCTCGCAGGGGTACCCAGCTGGTAATCGACTGCATCCGGCGGCATTCGAGAAAGCCTGTAGGATTTGTGCCTTACCCTGCTTTGGCCCAGCAATCCTTTGAAGCTCGGCAGGATTCCACACTATTACCAGAATTGGATCCTCGTCCTTGCCGCTGCTCTCCATGAGATGAAGGACTGCTGCCTTGAGGTCGCCTGTGATGTTGAAGCGTCGAAAAATCTCTGCGATCCTCCCATTCAGCATGATGCCTGCAACAGCAAAGCAACAGCAAATTAACACCTTTGAAACACACAAAGCTCACACAGCCTGCGCACCACATTCGTCCAGCACAGTGACGCCATCCCCCCAAAACCCTAGACCGTCCAAGACAACTGGTGTAGCCGCGGTTTTCTTCTCGTGTCCCGAGTTCTTGTCAATCTTGTCCGAACTTGGTCTGCCACCCTGCGATGATCATCTCGTCGTGAGCTAAATGAAAAAGAAAAAGGAAAGTGAGAAAAGAAGAGCGAGTGCTTGGCGGAAAGCTTACCATGTACTTTGCAACGTGCTGGAGGTTACTGGGGAAGACGAAGTCCATGAAGTGCTCGAGAGCCATTCTAGCATGACGGAGCTTTGGAGCCAGAGCAAAGTCGGAATCAGTGGGATTTTTTCCAGCGATGTAAGGGCCCTGAGAAACAAAATAAATGAGAAGAACATTACAAAGAACTTACACATATACATGGAGAAACTTACGTGTTTCTTCAATTGCTCCTCGAAAGCTGTGAGCTCGTTGATAAAATCTGTCTTTGCTGGAGCGCTTCGGTCCTTGGACTTGAGTCAGTTAGTGAACACTGGAAAGATGCCAGCACCGCTGGAAAATCCAATCTCATCTTAGCAGCAATCGATCTAACTTGTAGACATCGACTTTGAATTCGTCTGGAGTTTTCAGAGACGGCTCCTTGAACTTCTTCTCCACATGCACAATGATTTTGTCCGAATCTTGAATCCAATCAGGACCGTCGCGGAGAGCCGGCATCAAGCCAGAGGGATTGTGTTGCATAAACCTGTGAGAGAAAAAAATCCCATCTCCTTACCAACCAGTCTGGCTTTGGAATTTTTTTGGTGTTAGGCAGGAAATGCTTTTCGGCCATTCTCGCTCACCTGTCGATCAGCGCAACCATTTGCTGGTACTATTCTCTTGCTTTGGCATTCTCGCCTCTTGTGATGATGCAGAGCTCCACTGTAAGCTAGAGAATTTTGTTTGCTCGCTCTCAACTTCAACTTCTCTTGTCTGTGTGTTCTCTTCGCAGCAGCCTTCAGCCTGTCCTCCTGAGCTCAGTGACGATGTTGTCATTGTTGCGTGAGTCATTCAAGACTTCTTTCTTTTCTTCACTTCCAAATTTTAAACTCCACCTGGGTTGTGGCAGAGCATTCCGGACACCGATATGCAAGGCCAAGCGTGGTGGCTTTAAGGACAGCTTCCCGGAGGATTTACTGGTTCCTGTTCTCAAGGTATCTTGTGAAACTTTGTTCGCACGTTTTTCGACAATTCTTTCCAGGCAGTGGTGGCTCACACCGGCGTAATACCAGCTGACGTTGGTGACATTGTCGTCGGGACCGTCATAGCACCCGGTTCCCATCGGGCGGCTGAGTGTCGAATCGCTGCTCTCCTGGCTGGCTTTCCAGGTTTGTCAAGCGTACAGGCAGAGACCTGTTCTTACTTTCTGTTTTTTATTCTCTTGCTTGCAGACACTGTACCAGTTCGAACTGTCAACAGGCAGTGCTCATCCGGTCTACAAGCTGTTGGAGATGTTGCAGCGGCAATCAAATCTGGATTCTATGAAATTGGTCTCGCGTTTTCACGGTTGATGTAGTTTCCTTGTTTAATCGTATCTTTTCCAGGAATCGGCGCTGGTGTGGAGTGCATGTCAATCGATTTTGGGGTTCAGCAGCAACCTCGTGTGAATCCCCAGGTATTACGGGTGTCATTCCTTTCTTTTGTTATGTGTTACCTTCAAAGCTTCAGGTTGAGCTGAACAGCATGGCTAAAGACTGCTTGTTACCTATGGGCATTACGTCCGAGAATGTTGCTGAGCGATATGGCATCACTCGAGAGGAGCAAGACGAGGCTGCTGTAAGTGTTTGCTACGTTCCGATCAGCTTTGTCATCAATATATTATCCAGGTTGTATCGCACCAGAATGCAGCAGCAGCAATCGCAAGTGGAAGATTCAAAGACGAGATTACTCCTGTGAAAACCAAGGTAGTGATGCTTCATACAAACATGAGTTTCTGACGCTTGTGTGCAGCGTGTGGATGCCACCACTGAAGAGGTCACAGAAAGTGTCATATCTGTGGACGACGGTGTACGCCCCGACACGACCCTTAGCGTGTTGGCGAGACTCAAGCCAGCATTCAAGAGTGGAGGCACAAGTACTGCGGGCAATTCGAGCCAAGTTAGCGATGGTGCTGGAGCCGTTCTCCTGATGAAGAGAAGCTGTGCAACTCAGCGTGGCCTGCCAGTCCTGGGAGCATTCAGGTGAGTGTTTTTTGCTTGAATTTGATTGATTGTGGAGCTTATCAATCTTGACAGGAGCTTTGCCGTGGTTGGCGTAGAGCCCGGTGTGATGGGAATCGGCCCCGCGGTTGCGATTCCAAAGGCCGTCAAAGATGCTGGCCTGGAGATTAGCGACATTCATCTGTTTGAGATCAACGAGGCGTTCGCATCGCAGTACACGTACTGTTGCAAGAAGCTGCAACTTGACCCTGCGAAGGTGAACGTGAATGGTGGCGCAATCGCGCTTGGCCACCCTCTGGGTGCAACAGGCAAGCAATCTTTTAAGTGTTTTATGTGTCTTATATTTTGTCATAGGTGCTCGCTGTGTGGCAACGCTCCTCCATGAAATGGCCAAGCGTGGGTCCGCTTGTAGATACGGAGTGGTCTCTATGTGCATAGGTGAGTGAACCATTTGGCCATCCACTTTATTGTCTTTTTGTTTTTTTTTTTTTTTTTTTTCCGCAGGGACTGGCATGGGAGCGGCAGCTGTGTTCGAGCGAGGAGATGTATAAATTCATTCGCAATCGCCTCAACATTCTACTTCATAATACAAACTTTTGGTGTGTTTGACAGTAGAAGGGTAGCGGTTGTGGGTTATTACTTTTTATTCAACATTAGCACTGCTCGAAGCATAAGAAAAAACTGGTTTATGAAACTCTCACGCTCAGCTCAACTCTCCTGAAAAACAGATTGGTCATTCTCAAAAGTTGCTGGACCTGAAGATGTTGATGAGGTGAGCCCTTTCGCGCTTGGCTAAGTCAGCTTGCTTCTTGAGCGAGATTTGCTCCTGCTGGTACTTTGCAATGAGGAAACGCTTCCTCTTCTCGGCTTGAATGCGCTCCTAAAACCAACAAACTCTCAGCTTCAGGCCTAGCAAATGGAATAAAAAAGAGAGAGACCTCAAGAGCCTTTTCTTGCTTCTCTGAGAGCTCTTTGCCGTCGTCGTGGCCACCATCTTTAGATTTGTCACCTGCCTTCTTTGTAACCCTGCAAAGATAAAAACACACGCTCAGCTTCTCCGCATGACACGAATTTCGTTCACTTACTCCAGCTCTCGAGAAGTAGAATCAAGCTGGGAGCGCCCTGAATCCACGCTTCTCAGCCAGCCGAGACGTTCCTTGTTGAGCTGCTTCTCGATCTCTTCGAGCTGCAACCTCATCCTGAGCTTGCCATCCACGTTGAGACGGTCCAGGCTCTTGAGCTCCTGCTGGAATCTGTCCTCTATCTCCTGCATCTGCACATTGACGCGATGAGGAAAAGTTGGAAACGAAGAAAGAGAACCCAACCTTTCTCGGTTTCTTCAAAGACCTGTTGAGCTTGAACGCCTGCTTGAGCTGCTTGGTGGCCCCAAAGCTCTTCCCCCACTTCTCTCGCAGGTAAGCGCACTGTTGTGTCTCGGAGAGCATCGGCAAGAGCTTGAGCATATCAAGTGCATGCTCCTCGTCGCCACTGCTGCCATCCTCATCGTCACACAAGTCTTCCGCTGCTATATCTTGCGCAGGAGCAGCTGCCAGAGACGATACTTCATGACGCTTGATCAGCCCACAAAACGACTTGCTCATGGCAACTGTATCGTCTTCTTCTTGTTCTCCTTGTTCCTCGGCAGCATCAAGGTGCTTCTCTTCAACGAGTTGCTCCTCCACCGCAGGCCCAGAGTCCCTCGCTCGGAATTCCAGCTGCTTGGCATCTACAAAACCAACCTCGGATGATGGATAGGCCACCACAAACCTCGGCTCAGCCGCACTTCCTCCCTTGCTATACACGGCCAGCACCTCGAGTAACTTGAGCTCCGCGAGGTTTTGCGGGACGTCCTCGCCTTGGAGCCCCTTGAACGGCCGCCTCACCTTGCCATCACCCTCGTCCGAGTTGTTGACGAGGAGAACCGGCGGCCACGACTTGATGCCTACTTCCTGCCGAAGAGATTCCACCTCCGCCTTGAGTGCCTCCTTCAAGGCGCGGAGGAAAGCGCGGTGCTGCCTCACTCGCTTCTTCCAGTAGTTCTTGAGGTGGAGTATGAGCGCCTCCCATCCCCGGAGTGGTTTCTTCCCGGGGCACAGAGCACACAAGATGTGGGGCTCTCTCCCCGAGCAAGTGAGGCTGGCGCTGCTCTCCAGGCATCCAATCTGGTCCCGGTAATCCGCCACCATCCTCTTTGCAAGCGGCAGAAGCGCGCTGAAGCACCTCTCTTCCAGTGCATCGCCACCCTCTTGGTCGGCGTGGTGGAGGAGGAATTCATACTCGTCGCCCGGGATGAGATCGTCTGGCCGTGTCTCGAGAATCCAAGTGCGATGGATGGCAATCTCCCTCGGCTCTAGCGCCATTCCTTTTCAAAAATTCGAACGGCCCCGCCAAAAGCGGCTCAACGGCTGGGATGTGATCTAGAGAGACGCCTCCCTTTCGATCTAGGGCGTCCTCGTCCTTCGTCCTCCCTAGCAGCGCCTCTTGTATGCTGGCTAGAACCCCCTGCGATGGCGATGGCGATGGCGGTGGGCATGGATCCACAAGCATGGCAGCATTTCGTGCCGCACGCCTCGCCCGCTCGTTGTCGTTGTGAAGCCTGGACGCCGCCACCAGCGCTCTCCACACAGAGGCATCGGGCTCCAGGGGCATGTTTTCCAGCACCTCCTCGGCCTTGGTCAGCTGCCCCGACCGACCCAGGAGCTCCACCATGCATGCCCACTGCTCCATGCTCGGCCCTGCGGCATACCGGTAGATGAGGCGGAAGAAGGTCCGGCCGTCCTCCACAAGGCTCGCAGCGCTACAAGCCGACACGATGCTCACGAAGCTGATCTCGTTGGGAAGCATGCCCTCCAGTTCCATGGCCCGGAAGAGCTCGAGCGAGACCTTGGCTTGGCGACACCGTGCATACGCCGAGACGATGGCCGTCCACGACACAATGTCGTGCCTTGGCATCGCCTCAAACAGTCTTCTCGCCTGCTCGACGCTTCCACACCTCCCATACATGTTGAGCAGGGCGGTGGCGACCGAAACATCAGCGCGATGCTTGTAGCTCATCTCCTCGTCCACGGCCTGGTGAAGCTCCTTGCCTTGTGCTAGAGCTCCAACGTCCGCACAGGCGTTCAAGGCTGTTATCAAGGTGACCCGGTCTGGCTTCGTGACTCCCTCGCTGTCCATGGCCGCCAGGAGCGAGAGCGCTTGTCTGCCGTGCTTGTTCTGAGCGTAGGCTGTGAGCATGGCGTTCCACGACACGAGCGTGCGCTCTGGAAGCTGCTCAAACATGTCCCTTGCCTCGTCCAAGAGACCATTCTGAGCCAATGCCACCACCATGCTCGTCCACGACACGCTGTTCCACCCCGGCATCGTGCTGAAGAGTTCTTTGGCTTCGGCCACTTTGGCATTGAGGCCGTAGATGGACAGCAGAGTGTTCCAAGCAACGCTGGTCTTGCGTGAGATCTGGTCGAAGGCGCTCTTGGCCTCGCTCACCTGGCCACACTTCCCATACATGTTTACCACCGCAGTTGCGATCAATGTGTTGCCGTCACTGGTGCTAGTGATCTCCTGGTGGACTAGACTCCCTTGTTCCAAGTCCTCCATGTCAGCACAGGCACCAAGAACACTGGCGAAGCACACACTATCGGCTTCCACACCTTCCAATACCATCACTTTGAACACCTGTAGAGCCTTCCTTCCGCGACCGTTCTGCGAAAGCCCGGAGACGATTGAGTTCCACGAGACCCTACTCCGCTGCGGCATCTTGTCAAACAGAGCCACGGCTTCTTCCACGCTCCCATTCCTGGCACACACTGACACCAGCGTCGTCCACGACACGACGTCCCGCAACGGCATTTCCTCGAACACCTTCCAAGCATTGGCCACATTACTCCCTCCTTGAGCATAGTTGTAGGCGGACAGGAGAGCGTTCCAGGACACGGTGTTCTTGTCCCCGTCCGGAATCGCATGAAACAAGGCACTTGCGTCCTCCACGCAGCCGTTCCGGGCGAAGGCCGAAAGCATGACGTTCCAAGACACGATACTCTTGTTGGCGATGTCCCGGAACACACTCTCCGCCTCCGCTACCCTGTGGCACCGGCCATACATGCGGACGAGCGCAGTCGCCACCACAGTGTCGGGCAAAAATCGTTTCATTCGTGCAGCCACTTGACCCACAGATGCTGACATTGTCTCCTCGTGACTCTCCTTCTCCAGTGACGACGCGCAAGCATCAGACACAGCCAGCATTGTCACCCTGTCAGGTTCTACGCCCTCCAACTCCATGTCGTGAAACATCCCGAGAGCCGTGTCGCAATGCCCGAGCCGTGCACACGCCGTGATGATCGCATTCCAGGCCACAATTCCATGCTGAGGCATCACTTCCAGGATCTGTATCGCTTCCGCAATTCGGCCATCGCTAGAATAGGCCGCCACCATCCCCGTCCACGACACGGAGTTGCGCTCTCGCATGCAAGAAAATAACTCATCAGCTTTCCCAAGATGCCCACAGGCGGCATATGCAGTGAGCATGGCATTCCACGACACAACATCCCTCTCCGGCATCATGTCAAACAGCCATTTCGCCTCCTCTTCCCGTGTGATGCTCGCACCAAGCATAGTGTTCCAGGAAAACCTGTTCTTCCGCGGAATCCTCTCAAACACTTGCCTCGCCTCCTCGATCTGGCCGCAGGCGGCGTACATCTGGACCAGCAGATTGCCCAGATAGGTGTCGCACTCCAAACCGGCCTCGCCCAGCCTCCGCTCCAGCTGCTTTCCCTCGGCCACGGATCTACACTGGCGCACAAGCAACGCCCACTGCCGCTGCTGCATTCCATAGCGACTATAAATTTAGGGCTTGATTCTAGAATGAAATCCTTCTGGTGACGATTCATTACTACGGGGTCGACTTTGATCTCATGGCTCGATCTGGGAGTTGTGCAGATGTTTCCACAGGATCCGGGCAAGCAGATCACTGGCTGGTTGACGAGGATCAGCGTCTGGCGGAGATCAAAAGGCCTTGCATCATTCATAGCTTTCTGTCCGAGCTGAACAAGAATGCAAGGCGTGGCGTGGAACAGTTTGGGCATCTTCAACTTGCGGGGCTTTGTGCTCTGTGGCTTGCCGATTCTCAAGGAAGTTATTGCAGATAGGATCCTGGAGGATGTGACTTGTATCTCTGCTTTCGGTCGAGAGTAGCAGGGAGATTGAGCTCCTTGATGCAAGCGACATACGGATGCATACGCTGCCTTTTCTTTTCAAGCTAAACATCCCGAGTGGCAGGAAGACGAATCAGCGGATATTGTGAATGCGCCCAGTGAGGAAGATGGCAACTGATCAATGGCAGAAGGATACTGGAGCTCAAGGGACTGGTGGGTGTTTGCTGCCACTATGTGCAGTCCTTCCAAGTACATTCCTTCGAAGAGTGGCAGAGGGTGGTGCGAAACGGGCGCCTCGTTTGGGGGTCTACTCAAAGATGTGAGACACTACCTGACGGATGTTCTTGGTTGCCTGGAAGCGGAAGGAGTTGCGTAGGTGACGGATGCGGAGCTGCTCGAGGATGCTGTCAGTGTTTTGTTTCGCGATGGTCCCGAGAGAGAAAAAAAGAAATATTTATTAACAATTAATAATTTTTATAATTAAAAATAAAATTCATTTTGTAGTATATTCTTTCATTTCAAGATTACTGGGTATAACTATGTTGTGATGGAGGAAAATTTGGTGGTGTTATAAATGTAATTAAGTATCTCCTTATAACTCTATATAATATATAAAGAGGAGTTGAGATTATGCTTGAAATGAAAGAATATAGAATGCATAAGAGTCAACCTGATCAGCTATGGAATCCTAGATTCATTCATATGGAATGAGTATATGCAAGTGAGGTTCTAATGGCTTTGGTGTCGTTGGTAACCATCATATTGCATGAAGGTATGGGCAACATTAATTCTCACTTAATCCAAACTTAAGCCCTTAATACCATTAAAACCCAAAAGTTTGGTCATATTAGACTATAGGATCTCAAAAACCTCTTTAGTGTTCGTGAAGGAAGCTGCATCCCACTCAAACTGCCCCTCCTATGGCTTTGAAGAGTTCTAAGCTCCTGCCTGCATCTCAGGAAGGTGATCAAAAGGACCACTGGCATCAAAACCGCCGTGGACACCCATGCGAGCAGGAGACTATTTGATTTGTAAGTCGATTCGCCCTGAGCAACAACCAGCACTCGCAATCCATGGCTTGTCACCTGCACTTGGTCAGCGTGTAGTGCCCAGCTCCTGAAACTCTTCTCTCTTTGCAACTCAGTCGGCGTCAAAGCCACAACAGCGGAGTAGGAAACAATGGCCAGGACCAGGTTGCAGCAGCACAAAAGCCCTATTTTCAAGCGTGAAGAGACTCTCACACCTCGCACCAGCTTCAACTGTGCATCTGTCAATGGCACCACTCCCGCAACAACTGCGATGAAAGCACTGGGGAGAGTTATGGCCACCACCCAGAACTCCGCGGGAGAACCTTGCTCCAGGTTCAGAAGCGAGAGATGCTCAGCAATGTACGACGCTTTAACTTGAGAGAGCAACGAGCTAAGAATGTCTACGTCCGAACTTGTTTGCAGCAGATCCTGGGGTGGATCTATTCCCCACAAGCACATTTCCGGCTTGGCTGCCCTTCTATTTTCACATACTGGTGCATCATAGAGAGGAAAGTTGGATGACGGACTGTTCGTTGTTCGCACCCAGATAGATGAAAGTCCTGAGCAGCTCTGTCTTCGCAAAGGTACCAGTGTATTGGTCTCGTTCCTGGGAGCTTCATAGACGGCTTTGAAATACGGCACAAGACTGGCTTTCACTTCTTTCTCGCCACAGTCGAAGTGTACGCAGTGGAATCTCCACGAGCTGCGTGTGGTTACAGTAGCATTCAGCTGCTCACTGTAGCAAGCGTAGTAGCCCGACTGGTTGGAAAACAGAAAGGGTGACTCGCTTTGGCAGCCTCCAACAATCTTGCCCGGAAGAAAGGCCGGTCCCAGGACAGTGAGAAGCTCACTGCCGGTGGCGTTCTTGAACTCTTCATCCATTCTATAACATTTGGCGACTCCACCATAGTTGTACACACCTGCTTCAGGAGCTTTTCTCACGCTTGGAGATGGTAAGCGGGCTCCTTTATCAGTCAGCGCAACCTCACCTCGATCAGCAAAGATGTCAAATCCTAAGTTGCCACAGTTTGGTAAGTCTCTGTAGCTTTCCCATGCTAGAGTTCTAGCTTGAAACCCTGACTCTGATTGTGTGTTTGTATAGTACTCAGTTGGAAACTCCAGTATCCTGGAGGGAACCGTGTTTGTGACCCGTTGGGCATTACTGTTGTCACTGACTACCTCCCACAAGCTGAAGTATGTTGGTGAGTACCTTGTCCAGTTTCTGATTTCCTGATCATAATCTTGAGGAGTAACCCGCAGAACAACTGGTGCAATTGGTTCACAGGCGGCATCTAATGTAGATTCGGCCTGCCGGTTTTCCTGCAGGCAGACAAATGCCAGCAGCCACATGGTGATCTTCATGGTTCCCAGACCCTTGATGTGCTCGGAGGACTCATACTCTGCGATGGATGCATTCCTGGTTGCTGAGAGCCCTCCCCTATCACGGATCTCTTTCAGATAGTCCTTGTCACATACCTGTTCTACACTGCCCAGCTCCTCTTCTGGAATGGGAATTGAAACCAAGTACCTCAAGAAGGCCTCTGGATGCGATTTGAGGTGCGGAATGAACTGCCACCAGGTGGACTTCTGAGACGTATCACCGCTCATGCTTAGAACTGCTCTGGAGCTGTTTACTCCAGCCAGTTCACCCCGTTGCACTGATACTTCCGCTGCTCCCAAGTGAATGTGAAGAATCCCCAGTACGAGAAGGGCGACGATCCAAGCCATCAAACAATTCGACTATCGGTAAATAGCCCCGATATGTGTAATAGCAAGACTTCAAGTCGCCACTGCCAGGAAGGACCCATTCACGACCATTAAGGCACAGAAGCCGTTCCTGTCGCATCCGGGAAATTAAAAAAGAAGCCGCGACACGGGAGGCACAGAAGCCGTTCCTGTCGCAGGCTTTTGGAAATGCTTCTTTTTAATTTCCTGGATGCGACAGGAACGCCTCCCCTTGATTCACTCTCTCTCCGCTTACTTGGCGGTGACGTGGCATCAGCCTTTCTTTTTGTTTTTTCTCCAGCACACTCCTTCTCCCGTCCATTTAACGGGAGGCTCTGTCAATAGTCCTTTGCGTGTATTCAGGACTAGAGGCTCACATTTAATACTGAGGAAGAAAGAGCAGGGCCACAACGCCGCGGCGCCGCTACCAAGGAGCTGGAACAGCGGGACGACCTCATCTCTAGCCTCTACATGTATACAATGCCTGACTGATTGACTACCTAGGAGCTGGAACAGCGGGACGACCTCATCTCTAGCCTTTACATGTATACAACGCCTGACTGATTGTGAATCGTGATCAAGCAAAGGCTTGCCGAGCTCATCTCTCGCATCTTCTGTCACCTTGAGCAAGTTTTCTCCAGGAAAAGAGTCCGTCCATTCATCTCTTTCAATCAACACCTTCGGGTGGTTTTCTTCTCTGCCTGACATCGGCCATTCCATTGCGATCCAGCGATGCCGTACCAGCTAAATAGAGTTAATCTTTAATTAACAAAACTTAAACTTTTATCCTTTAATGATGAATTTATCTCTTCAACCAGGTCAGGCTCCAAGCCTATATTTGCGGCCAAACCGCATATCTTTGAATCAGCAAGTTTCAGGCTCAATTGATTTATTCTAGATTCTCTGAATAACATGAACTTGATTTGGTTGACAGATTACAAAAAGGATTATTGAGGCCTGATTTTCAATATGGCAGCCATTGGAACATTGGCCCCTCCAAAGACGGAGAAGAAAGGTGGCTGGGCTGGCCACAATTTTCAAGCATACAAAAGGCTTTGGCTTGAGATTCCTTACTTCATGGCGATGGCGCCGCCCTAGCCAGCCCAGATGCGCTGCTGCCTGGGTGGAGGACGACGGCTCGCGCATCGGCGGCGGCAGCAGGCATTTGTGGCGGCGCTTCTTGTTGTTGGCGGCTCGCGGAAGTGGTAGGCGAGTAAAACCGCTGCTGCTTGCTCCTTCTTGACCCAGCTTCATGCGCCGCAGCTATCTACACTCCACAAATACAGGCCTGTGGATGCAACGGTGACCGCAGTAGTTGCATAAACCAAGGGTGATACGCTCCACACATCGTCGCTTGAATAATCGATTATTGCCGTGCACTGCCTTGTTGATGGGATCTGTGATGTCCTCCATCGTCATTAACAGATCCTTGAAATCCTCACGCAGACCATGGTAGAACTGATCCATTCTTCCCAAAGTGTGTATATGGTGAGGAGGCAAAAATCTGTAGCATAGATTGAGGCCCCTGCAAGAGTCATTAAATCTTGATGGTTACCGAGTGAATCCGGTGCGTATTGCCAAAGCACACCGAGATGTGCTCCTTAAATAGTGCAAGGTCATGCAGTTCATGCACCTCCCTACATGTGGATTCCTTCTCCAGAAGAGAAAACCAAGACAGGGCAGCACTTCCAGAAGTGTGCCGATGACGCCAATTTGCGAATTTGCAGAGGGGTAGCACCGAGGCTGGAGTCTGAAGATCAGGTCCATCTGGTTCAAGAACCCCCGTAGATCCGATCCGTCATCTAGTGAACTTTTTGGGGAAGCTGATCTTGGGCTCGGTGTCGAGGATTAAGACGCTGATTACTGGAGTTGAAGGAGAGCTGTTCAAAGTTGTTGGTTGTCGACTTGGAGCTGGAGAACA